TGTAGCTTGGCTGGCCCAACTCTGGAGATACTGGGGTCATGTTTGGCGGAACCCCATCAACTTGCCCAATTGCCGCATTCTTCGACAGGTGGGAACCATTGCGTTGAGTGCAGGATTAATACGCCCTGGGGTCGTTGGCGACTTAATCCCTCGCAAGCTCCAGAAGGCCTACGAAGTATTTCGAGGCCCTCTTGATCCTGACTGCTGGGAGCTTGCCGCATCAAACAGAGATGCATGGAAGCAACTTGATCCCAAGTGGATCTCCAAGTGGATTTCCCCAATTAATACTGCATGCAGCTCAACATACCTCATGAACATGCAGTTGCTTGTCCTGAATTCCAAACTGTGTGTGCTGCGTCCAGTGAGAGAGGAGCTTTTTGAACAACCCTACTCACAAGCCCTCCTTCAAGTCAAAGAAGCCCACCGCTTGTCCGCGCAGAGAGCACTGCTTGTCAGGTTTGAACAGGACCAAGGAGTGTCAGTATTACTGCTCATGGGCACCTTTGCGTTACATAGAGTGACTTTGATACAGCAACCACCTCAGGAACAGGACCTCTTAGGCAATGTCGCGCGAGGACTCCTGGTGGTCTGGCACCTTACAAAGCTCCTGTTTGACGATGATCCCCTACACAAGCCCTCCATTTTCCTACCCCAGGTTATGCTCCAACATCCGTTGTTTACAGGAGTAGTGAATTCATGTCCAGCAAGGAACTTGATGTACCGCCTTGGTCAACTTGACATCCTTGACTTCGTGCAGCTTCTCCCTTTCAAACTCCCCCCCAAGTATGAAACTCTGCTCCAGGTGCCCTATAATCCCCAACCGCCTCACAAAACCCTCGTCAGGACTCTTGATGCCAGCTGGGCCAAATATTTTTGTTGTGATACATGGATGCATGAATTTCAACATACATGTCATGGGAAAGGGGGGGGGGCAGGACGACCAATTTATTAAACCTTGGAACTTTCGCCTGCCTTTCTGTAAGATTTAATGTTTGAGATTGCCCTTTTAGGCCGTCCACTGCAAGTTGTAGATTAATTGTATGCTCTGAATGCGAAAGGGTCTACTGCTGCAGCAGTGATACGCAATCAAACTGCCCTCAATCACCCCCTTGTCAACCCTTGCCCGCCATGGAAGCTGGAGGCTTGATGGGGACCATCAATTCCGTTTTCTCTTCGGAGATTTCGAGTGGAGTCCTCATTGGACTCCTTGTACTACTTGCCTTTTTGGGCATGCGAGGAGACCTCTGCCCCGACTGGCTAAACGCTGCATGGGAATTCATGAAGCAGCTCCTTCGAATGCCCCTCATCCTCAGTGACATCCGCGATCATCTGCAGGAACTACGATTGACCCATGAAATGATGGATGAAATTAAGAACATGATTGAGAAGCTTCAGCTGCTCCTCAAAGACATCAACTCGGCTGCGGAGGGGTTGCACGAGGAGATGGAGAAATTTGTAACTGGCAATGTCCGGGAACTCCGAGAATTTGAAGGCAAACTGGGCGAAGTACTGAAGGTGTTGCAACCACTGGATGGGCTAATTCGAAATGGGAACGACCTTGGCACCAGATGCTTGGGAGAGGTTGCCAAAGCTCAAGTCGGCCTGGATGAGGCTTTGAAGATTATCAAAGCTGAATTTCCTCAGGGACTGCTTGCCAAGAAGTTCGACTACCTCAAAGATACGCTGAAGACGATTCGAGATGAGGTGAATGCATGGTACAAAACAGATAATTCACAGCAAGATCAAGGACACAACCAATATTCTATTTCACGTGCAAGTGACAGCCATGGACAGTATCAGAATTCACGTGCAAGTGACGGCCAAAGGCAGAACAGTCGAGCTTGCGACAGTCAGGACCAAGGTCGCCATACTTCGGAGGAAACCCGCTCCATATCACTGGTGGATACACTGCCTGCGGCGCCTACTGTGCCCGCCCTCCCCGCCGGGGTCCCAGGGACCAGCCCCGACCTCACCACTTTGGTGATGGCGGCTGCACAAGTGCTTCAGCAGCAACAGTCCGCCCAGCAGAGGCGCTAGATTGCTGGATCTGAGCCTGCCTTGGTGAGCAAAATGAAGACTGTCTGAGTGCCTCTGCAAGTTTCAACTCGCAAGTGATGTAGTGCTTAAGTAAATTCCCTTTGCGAAACAGGCTGTGAACCTTGAAGCTACTGTAGCTGCTCTTCTCGAAGGTAGTTGCGGCGCTTTCATCATGGAAACCCTCCCGTGGATATGTATTCTTAATTTGGTGCTTGTGTTCATAATCGTTGCTTGGGGAATCCGAATTCTCTTCCCCTTCGACAAAACATATTGGTGCAAGCTGGTCCGACTGCCTACTCTGCTAGCTGAAGTATTGGAGGAGATTCTGGCCTTCCGACAAGCTGCACAGTGCATGGAGTCACTGTATACAGGACTCACGGATGTTCGTGAATTTGTTTTTGCACTTCAGAAGGAGGCTGCTGAAGCGACGGAGAGCCCATTGGCAGGGTCCCTCCAGCCGCCCCGTGGGGCCACTAAGGAATGCCTGCGCCTGCTGCAAGTCCTGGTGGGACTAGCTCAAGATACGTCCCGAGCTGCTGAAACCACCCAGCTGACTCAAAGCCGCCTCGAACATAGAATGCACCAAGCCTCTCCCCTCCTTCGCAGCCTTCAGTGCATCCTGGCCAACGAACTTTCTACAGGAAAGTTACAGCAAGGACTGGACGACATTCAGGATATGATGACCTTGCTTCGTCATGATCTGAGGACACATACGGATATACTTGCGCAATGCGTTTCCTCGGAGTTGGGAATCTTCGGGGCTAAAGCTTCGCCAGGTGATATTTTCAACTTGTGTAGCCTCCTTCCTCCGCTTGCCCCTTGGGAAGATGATCCCCTGGAGGACAACCCGGAGTTGCATATACTGGCTTTTGCGGCCACCAACGTACTCCGAGCCTCATGAGTCTCCGAGCATAAAGAAGGGCACCTTAATGAACGAAAGTTGTGACGATGCCCGAGTAATACATGCATTGCTGACGCACGAAACCCGCAGCCACTTGTAGTAGTGAGCTGCCCTCCTGAGACCGTATCTCATAAGCCATGGATCCTCCAACGCTGTGGTATGCCTTCATAACAGTTCTGCTGATCTGGGGTCTACACAGACTTTGGGAATTTTCCTCTTCAGCAGTTTCTGCATGTGCGAAGCGTGGCACAACGAATCCTCAACATAATTCGACTTCTGGAAGCCTCTGCAGTACAGCAGAACAGCCCGAATGCTGGGGTTATTGTGGAGGGAACCTTGTTTTCTGAAAATTTGTGCGACAACATTCTGAAGCTGGTGCGAATGAACGATCGCAAACTTGGTGAAACCCTAGCACAACAACTTCGACAAAGAGAAGATGTGGAGGCCCTCATCCGACAATTTGGCGATGAATTCAAGACCATCGTGCATGACCTGGGATATCGTATCTCTCAAGTTGAAGCGTCCATGGACAACTTCGTTGAACAGTTGGAAGCACATGATGAAAATTTTAAGAGAATTCGCAGAGCATGTGAAGATCAAACAATGCATGCAAAAGCTTTGGTAATTAATAATGAGACGAACTTCAAGCAAGTCAAGATGTCCTTTTCGCACCTGAGATCAGTGCTGGAAACCGATGTGGTTCCAACGCTCAATGGTCTCCAGGCCTTGTCGAATGCCAGCAGGTGACCCCGATCCATCTTGCAGAGCCCGAGCAAAAAGTCGCAGACGATCGTTGGCAACAAACTTGTTGACTCTTTAGAAACTAGGCTCGTCTCTTGCCTGTACTGGCTCCAGCATGTATGACACACTTGAAGTCAGCATTGTGCTCTGATCGGAAAACTTGCCCTAGGATGCAGGCCTTCCCCTTTGCCCTGTCGGGTCCCTCGGTTACCACTCCTATGCTCATTGATGATGAAACACAACAAACTGAAGGGTATCCTGATGATGACGTGGGATTTACTGTTGAAAGTACTGGGTATTCCCCCGATCTTCCCTGGGGTTCGATGAAAACACTCCCCCTGGATCCACCCTTTGACCTGAGCGCGGACCCACTTCTCAAACCGATAGAGTTTCGTGCCCTACTCCTCCTTCGTCACCCTAAACCTCCTACCCCTAGGGATGTCTTCAACCTTTTCAACATGATCCCCAACACATACCTCAGAAGAGGGGCGAAGGATGGTACGCGATACTTTGGCACTGGGTCCAACCCTCGTAACTCCAAGTGCTTGTTCAGTTTTTCGATTGAGATGCCATTCACGACTCTCGTAATTACTAAGATGATCGCCTATGTGGCACCGAGCTTCAGATTCACTTGCTGCATTCTTTTTAGGGGGTGCAAGTCGAGACCTCACCGTGATGCCAATAATGGGGGTAACCAATCTCTAGTAATGCAAATTTCTCCGCCCTTGCCAGGAGCAGGCCTCTGGGTACAAGACATTTGTGGTGACGTCATCATGGAGCATTTAGGAACCCGAGTCAAAGGACGTGTTGTATCTATTGACACACCTTACCTGCTCAATGCCCGTAAATGTCTTCATGCTGGGTATGTTCCTCCCCATGTCGACCCCCAGCAACGAGTTGTACTAGTGGCATTCAACACCATCAACCTTGGAACCCTCAGCTCAGAAGTCATCGATCAACTGCTCGACCTTGGCTTCCGAATCAACTCGAAAACTGACCTCAATGAAGCCCTAGAAGAAGCCCCCAGGTTTAAGCAGCTCACTCTGCAGGAATTCCTGCAGCTTCAGCCCTCTCGAAAGGACTGCCACGACGTGATCGAGGTCATGGACAGTCAGGAGGAGTAGTAACCAGGCGTAGTAACCATCCCCAATTCGCAAAACCGTTGATGTGTGCAAAACACTGACGTGTCGATGATGGATGCTGCTGCCTGCCTGCTGGGGTTCCCTAGCCTTATCCTAACTTTGAACTACATTTTAACATCCTTTATTGAAGCATGACCCTGGACATACTGAGCCTGTGTTTCACCTTTCTCCCTTGAGCCATGACCTTCGGCCTCAGCCGACGCCTCCCTGCATGGATGGATGATGGGGTTGGAATTCAGGAATTCATCGAGAGCATGGAGGACTCTGCAAACCCGAGATTGCTTGCTCAGAATATTCTGAGCTTTCTGGATGCGCTCCGGACAACTCCAGGGCTGGAATACCTCGGCCAACTGCCGCTGGTTGCCTCTTATTGGAGGCGCTTGGAACAAAGGTGCGACGAGATGCTACAGCTTCAATTCAGGACTGCAAGAAAACCGCCAGCTGAGTTTTACGCAGAGCTTTTGGACATGTATACACGTATTCGTACCCGCACGTGGTACCTTTATGTGGACTCAGCCTTGGCGCCAACACCGCAGTACCGCCAGATTAGGAGCTGAAGACCCCTGAGCCCTTTGACTTTCTGCAAGTGGCACAATGGTATGTCAACTTTCATATTCTGAATTGGCAATTTTCTGCCTGCATGCCTTGCATCTGAATTGGCAATATTCCTGCCTGCAATCTTTGCATCTGACTTACTGTCTGTCATGAAGAAAAGAGCACGTATACCAACAGGGCTGGACCTGGAATAATTCGGTGCAACGGTGCTCGCGTCATGGAACTGCTATTGGTGGGGGTATACCAGAATTTATGCTTGATTTGCAGAAACGACCCATGAGCATGCATGGAGAGTGCATGGTGACAGTGGAATCAAGTGGACAGCCAACTTCGACTTGGTGGGGCGGTCTGCATGCTCTTTATAATTTTCCGGCCGCCGGCATGGCTTCCTGGCTCAGCTCGGCGAGTGTGTGAAAGCTCCTGTGGTCTGCATGGTTGAATTCTGAAGAGCCTCCACACCTCGCAAGCTGTCTATGAGCTGAAATACAACTGCACGCTGAGGAATTTATGAGGCCACTGCCTGCATGGTTTTATCTATATACTTTCTGGCGAACTGGAGTTCCTGCATGTTTTATTGAACACCGGCCCGAGTCTGTATGGTGAGTCTGCAAGGTGAATTTGGATCCACGTGGTCTGCATGAAACCTCGCATATATACCTCCACATGATCTCCTGCATATATCTTGAAGAGAGCACTGGCGAATGCATGCCATGCATGTTATGAGGATTCGAGTCTTTTGGCAACGAACTTCTCTGCATGTTGCAGCGCCCTGCATGGTGCATGTACTGCGTCTCTGCAATTGAGCTGGGATATGCGCTGATGATTGCCCGGTGAGGAGTCTAAAGGTAAATACCAGTCTTCTGAGTTTCACAGGTCCCTCAAAGAGCCCAACTAGGTCGTGGGGTTTACTTGGGTTAGTGTTTGCGCTTTGAGGGGCTGCTGTCAGTTGTGACCGTGCTCTACGCTTGTACACTTGCTGGTTGGCTTTTCCGAGGTCGTGTCTGACAGCGACTCTGAGTAAGTGAAACCAACTACTCAGAGCAAACCTGTAGTCTCGTCGAACCTACTTCTGCAGACCTTGCCAGGCTTGTCCGAGTGTGAGTGTCAAAAAAAAGCCTCACCGCCCGAACTCACTGTCATAATGTCTAAAACGCTGAAAGTGTAAACAGATTCTGGGTACCAGGGCTTTTCCTCAAAGCGAGTACTGCAGTTTTAGGAGAAGCTCCGAACATCAAGTTAGAGAAACACTTCAGGCTTATGGCATCGCGAGCCCACGGCTTCTGAACTGAGCCGTGAACCTGAGTTATCGTGCAGACGATCAGACCCGAACCGGTCCAGCCGAGGTTTTCCCAGAAGCCGCAGCCAAGTACAGTTTGGGGGCAGGCTACAGCTACAATGACAAGAGTATATTTGCAAGGGGGACCCCTAAGGAATACTGTGGATCAGAATTCAGGCTTCTCTTGTAGACTTCTTATACCTTAAGGTCATCGAAGTTCTCCGGACTCAAGCAGCGGGTGTCCCTATGTTACTGGCTTATGGTATAGCCTTAACCTTAGTACTTCTACTTACTATTTACGTAGTATGTTACTATATATTATTATCTACGATTACTATTATACAACTACACTTTTACAGGACCCTCTGTCATAGCTTCGGCCGCAAGTTTTAGGCCACAAACAGCGAAGCAGATGCCCGTAGAGGCACTCTGCCATGCTGCTCAGACGGAAACCGCGCCGAAAAGCTGCACCGGCATTGGACTTCAGGTGTCTATGGGCTCGTCGGATTGATAGTGGGGCTTTTTCTGTGCTGAGAAGCTTCGCCCATATTGCTTGGACGGTCTGGTGGTTAAGGCTTTGGATGCCTGGCCTGTTTGCACTTTGCACACGTAGTTGCCGGCAACTTACTGCACATGTACGCTGGTTGTAAATCCTAGCACCTTAGAGGCCCTGAAGCCCTATAAGGTTTGCAGTAGCAGGCACTTGAGCCGAGGCGACTCTGCTCCTGTGATACTCTTGCGATGCTTCACAGTCCCGGACACAACAACTACCACAAGCTAAGCTAGTTTAGGCTTGATAGGGTTCTTTCTTGAGGAAGTCAACAGTCCAGCTTCAAAAAGCTGTCTTTACCGATTCATGCTGGTGCCGAACTGAGTTCAGGAGTGCACATCTCGTAGCTCTTCCAGTCAAACGCGATTTGGGATTTCTGGACATGGCCGCCCCTTTTTTAAGTAAGAAAAGCAGAGCCATTTAAACAAATCCTTGGCATAGTGAATGCCATGAGCATTGCTGTCCGCGCTTGTGGCTCTAGCTCCGTCTGGGCAAGGGTTCATAGATTTAACAGTATCTGCTTGTGAAGGGATTGGGGCCGTTATGTTGCTTCAAGTAGCCTGGATTTTCAGCCTAGAGATCTCAGTATTTGGGATAGGAGTCTATGTTTCAACTGTGTTGGATTTTGTTCTTCACTTGTCGTTGCTAGGTTTTCGGGCTTTGAACTTGGCTTTCGGTTGTGCGTTTATTTAAACCTGTGGAATGAAGACGGTTATTGGTGGGACATCCGTGCAATACCGCCATGACCACAGGAGATGAGGACGCTTTGGCTGCACTGGAAGGGGGGCGGCATGGGAATAGCGAGGGCGCCCCTGAGAATCCTGCATACTCATCAAGAGTTCGGCATTCGCTGTGCTGTTTTGAAAGTTTGTTTATCTCGGTCCTGCGATTAGTGCTTCGCGGAATTGGAGGGAGTTTGGACCTGAGCTTGGTTCTCAGTGGGTAAAGTTCGCCGTGTGCCGCCCACAGGCTCAGGAACCTGGCGCCCAGGCCCAGGAAGTGCAGAGTGGAATTCATCGGTCTGTGGCGAGAGAAACTCAGTTCTCGCTTTCTGATCTGCAGCCCCCTGACGTTGCTGAAGGCTGAAGGGACAGCAGATGCAGGGTCACTGTAGAAAACTGCCATCATCTCGACAACGCCGCTGCAGAGCTGGGGTGGTACTGCTGCTTTTCGGCCTTGGTCTTCGGACCGTGTGGTCGGCGGTCTTCACGCGCCCTGCCGCGCTTGGTGGCCAGACAGTTGCCAGGACTGCGGCGTGACTTGTCCCACTGTGGCGCTGCTGCCTGTAGTGGTACTTGCAGAGCGAACGTCCGAAGCATCCAACTGCTTGTCAGCCCAACTGCCCTTCAGACCCTGAGGGTTCCTAGATCTTGTCGTCGTCTACGATTCTACATCAAAACGCCATTCTGCACACAAGACTGCTCATAAAGAGGACTTGGCATCGCGGAAATGGCGTTGGCATCGGCGCTTTGGTAGCCACAGCGGAGGAGCAGCGCCGCTCGACTTCCAAGGAGTGACTGCTTGGCCCATAATATAGGGGCCTTGCTAATTAGAATAGGGTTTGGGGGCCAATTATACTATGATTAGAATAAGGAACCCGCAAAATGGCACAAAATAGTATAGGTAATTATTCAGGCCCCTACATTGACTGCCCAGTGTCTCCAAACTTTTTGTAGCGCGAAGAAGGTCCCACCACATAGACCAGGTTTCGACACCAGCAGGAGTTCAAGCCTCGAGTGTTGCTACCGGGGTATGAGACAAAGCAGTGAAATCCCCGAAACTTAAATCCTAACTAAACCCTATATACCCTTAAATCTTGAAGTTCAATCCAAGACGATGGCTCAGCCTTTCTGAGGCCGCGATGAGGCTTTCATGGAGCGCCTGCAAGGGCTGGCACGCGAGGCAGCGCTAGACGGAGTCTCTCTTAATTAATTCACGTATGCATGTTAGAGGATGTTGGAGGTGTTGGAGGGTGGCCCTGATTGAGTTAATGGTACCAGGGGAGAACGCTCGCAATCACGGGCGAGCTGCAACCACATTCGTTCCACATCTTTGCGTGATCTCCTAAACCCTTTACAAAACCCTGTTGTTGAGAAACCCCAAACCCAAAACCCTAAGCCCTAAACCTGTCGAAGCTTGGAGGCGCTGACCTGGCCTTTCCTTGAGGATCATCAGCGGCTTCTCTGGGCGGCCGTGCTGGAGTTCAATGCTGTGCCGACTCAGGCGGGTTTAGGGTTTATAGGGCTTTGAGGGTTTATGATTATGGGGCTGACAGGGTTTATACGGTTTAGGGTTGGCGCGACTGTAGCTTCAAGTCCTTCTGTGGATGATACGCAGCCAGAGTTTCTTGCCCAGGCACCTCTCGACTGTATACTACTCCATGCGCATGGTGTGCCTGAAGTCGAATGCAGGACTTGCCACCCTGGTTTTTCGAGCGGCAGAACTTCACCCGCCGGCACCTAGGCCAGGATTCGCAAAACAAAAAGAATCATGACGAACGAACCTTGTTTCATGTTTCTTCAAAGCTGTGCAGGTGTGGACCTCTGCAGCCTGGATGGGAAGAGGGCGATCCTTTGTCAAACGGACAATGCCACACTGCAGGATGTGAAGAGGTTTCTGCGGACCGCACGATGCCTGGGTGAGGCGGGGCAGCCTCCCGATGTTGAAATTTTGAGGGTTCCCAAATACCGGAAACCATAGATCCCTTCTCGTCAGTAAATATTCATCATGCTCACAGAGTACATGGGCAGGATCCACAGTGCACGCTTTGGATTTCCCGCGGCTGCAAGATCCCCGGCGACTCCAAGAAGTGCCTGCGCAGATACGGCTGCCAGCGCAAAATCCTCACCAAGACGAGGCTCCGCAACCTCATCCGGAATTCCGTCTCCGGTGCCTTTGCATCCGGAGACGCGGCTCTTGAAAGCGGAGCAGCACCGGACCCGCCCTTGAGGCCTTGCCAGGAGGCCTGCCTGGAGGCGTGCGCCAAGGGAGCCCGGGTCATCGAGATGGCCTGCGGCACCGGGAAGACGCGCATCATCCGCGAGCTGGCAGCGAAGCAGACGGGCAAGGTGGCACGATGGGTTTTCGAAACCACCGAGTCTTCCAACACATGAACCACGCCAGTTGGTTTCTCCGACGAAAACCCCCAATGCAACAGCGACACATGTGATTTGCATATGATTGTATGCCCCTCTCTGAAGTCTCGTTAGATGGCCTGCATGATCTCTAGTCTCTAGTCGGTACCTGCTACTAAGACTAGTTGCTTATGCTTGCATGTGTTTGTTCTGTCAAGGTCTTGGTTACGGTCCCTTCCCGGGTTCTGCTGGAGCAATTCGCGCAAGAGATGCCGGGCTTCTGCAAGGTGGGCACGCACTGCAACAGCGATCTTAACATGGCATCTCGGCGCTTCGTCGCTGTAAGCGATTCTGTGCGACTCCTGAAGAAGCTGGAGTTCGAGGCAGTTTTCGTCGATGAAGGTCATCACCCTTTGCCGAAAGGAATGCCAAGCTGCAAAGATCTCTTCAAGTTCTCGGCGACACACAAGGCAGGAGTGGATTTCAGATTTAGCTTGGGGGAGGCGATCTCGCAGGGAGTCCTGTGCGAGTACGACCTCACGGTGCCTGTAACCACAGAAGGCCATCCATACATCTGCCTGGCGAACCTGTTGCTGTCACAAGCTGGACGATTTCGACGGGTGCTCGCATTCTGCAACTCCATTGCCGAAGCGAGGCGTTTCCAGCAAGTGTTGGAGATTATGGGATTGGCAGCATGGCACATCAACGGGACTACCGCTCGCAACGTGCGAGAGAGAGTGATGAACGAGTTTTCGGGTGATTTGCAGAAGCCCTTGCATGTACTTGTGACGGTCCAAGTGCTTGGCGAAGGCGTCAACATTCCGAACGCCGATACCTGCATGTTCGTGGAGCCTCGCAGCAGCTACGTGAGCATCCTCCAAGCCATCGGCCGAGTGCTGCGGCCGCACTCGACCAAGCCCTTGTCTCACATTGTGCTGCCCGCGATAGCGGTCCCTTCCATGCCGCAGACAGCCGGTGTTAGTCGTGTTTTGGACGATATTGTGAAGAGTCCCGAGTCCGATGCACGACTGTCTTGCTCTGTGGAGTGTCAAGGGAAGGTGGCCGCCCACAACTCATACTCAGGCCCGCAAGTGAAGGCGGAGTGCGTCCATGATGACCCTCTGGAACTCCCGGTACCTTTGGGTAGGTCGGCGACTGGTGGGCATCAGCAGCCAGACGAGCTTATTGCACGTCGAAGTGAGCCTGCAACGCATGCTGCGGGAAACACGTTTGTCGGGCTCCGAACGGATGCCCTCACTGATGAAGCTGGCGAGTTGTTGTCGTCAGCTGAACTACCATGCGCCGAACGTGACGCCGACGGAAAGGGACAGACTGGCCAGGATCACAGACAGGCCGACGTGGAAAAACAGACGGCTGTCAACCAAGTCGCGGCTGAACCGATGCGGCAACCAGCTCGACTCTTGCATACTCCAGCTTTGGGCATGGGTCCCGAAAGTCCCATGTTGACGGTGAACCAGGATGAGATCCCGGCACCTTTGTCACAAGCCCAACAGGATGTTCAGCACAATGGGCCACTAGGTAGTTTGGCAAGCGTGCCCCAAAGGAGCGCCAAGTCGAAACTGAAGTCGAGGACGAGTTTTGGGAACAATTTTGTTCAGAGCCATGTCAACCAGCTCGACAGGTTTTTGGAGGCGATAGCAAAGGCCGACAGCCGATTTGCTGACGCAGACCTCAAGCATGTGCAGTCTCGTTTGTGGGTGATGGACTGCAGGCTGCAACAAGCCCGGTTACCGAAGCTGGTTGTCCACACTGTGCAACATCAATTGGCCTTGATTCTGCAAAAGTGCGACGCATGGGATCTCAATCTACGAGCAGTCGAGCAGTATGCTCAAGACCACGGCAGGCTACCACGTCAGCTAAGCCCTTCCCCGGAGGAGAGGCGCTTGGGACGTTGGCTGCGGGAGGTTGGCGTCCTTCTGGGAAGGCAGCGGCTTGCGGCTGCCAGGGTGCAAAAGCTTTCGAGGTCTTCATGCAGAATTTTGAGACTCCGCCTGGCGAAATGGCTGGAGGTGGAGTCCCCTTTCGAGCGATGCGTGAATGAGGTGCGTCAGTTTGTTCAGCTTCATGGCAGAATGCCTGCAAAAACCACCTCGAGTTCGAGACAGGAGTGCAACTTGATCAGGAGCCTGGAAGCTTTTGTTGGACGCATAAACAGTCAACGTGAAGAGCGCCTTCAGGATCTTGAAAATCACGGGCCCACTATTGCTCAGTGGGTGAGGTCAGTGCGAGCACGAAAGTTCCCTGTCCCCACGAAGTTATGGAATCAACAGTTTGATCGTTTGAGCGAATTCCTAGAGACGAAGAACCAGCTGCCATCACAGCGAGCAGGCCCTGGTAAGGAGCATTCTCTGTACTCCTGGTTGTCTAAACAGCGACATCTCCTGGATCAGCTCCCGTCGGAGTTCCGAGAAAGGTTGATCGCCTCCCACCAGGCAGTCGCATGTTTCCTGGAGGCTAAGCGAGGTCGCTAGTCGCAGAGGGCCTTTGATCTAGTGCCCCTGGACCACATGCTATAATCCAACCTGATCGACCTTGCATTTGGCAATGTCCACTAGTGACACTAGTGAGCGAATTTTCATGCCGCGAGGCCGACCCATCAAATGTGGTTTTTGTGCAGGCCTTCTGGAAAGCAAAAAGCCTGCAGCAGTGATTGCAGCTGCGGGGAATTGCAGCCTTGGCCTCTGATGGTATCAGATGTTAGAATGGTCGTTCGGTTTATTCGCGGCGGGCATTTAGCGGGGGGCTGTGGGGGTGCAGCTTTCAGGTCAATGTCCTGCATGGAGTGCATGAGGTTGCTTATGACATGTAAAAGTATATCAAGTCAAAGCTTCGGAAGGTGGTCCATTTATTGTACACACATATACAGATTTTCAGGTGTGCACATATATATATATATATATGTATTCACATATATATATATATATATATATACATATGCATGTATGTATACTAACATGGGTATGTATGTGTATGTATACTAATATTAAGTTCAAACAAATGCCGAAACCCAGGACGTTGTGTCCCAGGCCTTCTCGGACATGGCGTCTTCCTTGACAGCGGACTGTATGCTGCAAAAGTAGACAGTGTGCGGTGGGCTTTCGCGAACTTGATCGTAGCAGAGTGGGATACAGGACTCTGCGGCGGGGTTGACGTGTTCTTGGGCTTGTGGCTGACTGGCTGAATGTTCGGAGTGCGTGTGGTTCATGTCGATTTAGGATTAATGTCAGGCTCTTGTCATGTGATGCACGCAGAGCGTTTCATTAAGACCACCACAGTATCTGCCACATCATGAGCCGGTGTCATTAGATGTGTTTGTCCTTTTCGTAGTCATTCCTCATTACCACGATGTCCCCGCAATGGTGGAAGAATTGTGAAGAGTAAATCCGAAATCTAACTGGAACCAAAAACCTGAAACCAGGAAGCCTACAAGACGAAAGAGTCCATCTCCTGCACCCCATAGCCTCTTAATAGCCCTTATCCGCAAGGCCCCGAGCTCAAGATCTTGAAACCCTCCACCCCGGCAACATTGTAGCCGACAGGCGGCTTTAGAGAATCTTCAAGAGATCCCAAACCGCAGCTGTAGTTCCTTGTCGTTCCCAGGATGCTGAAGACGAGCTGAGGAGTGCAAAGCTCAGAAGTTTGCACTGGCAACCTAGACAATTAGCTTCGTCTTTTTGGTGGGTGCCGTATGACAACGGCACGACAAAAAACAAGACAGTTCTGGCAGGGAGATGTATTGTCTGCTTCTGCTGTAGGGGTTCAGGATTCGCACACAGAACAGAACCCATACGTATTATATAGATATACAGTATACTTACATATGTATATACTGTGTATGTATACGCACGTCATGGCTCCAAGGCTTCCTTGCTGCTGACCTGCCGACACCAACCTCGAGAAGGCCAGCTTCCTTTTCGCATCTTCCCACAACAGCTTAAGCTGTTTGCTTGAAATCAGTGCCAGCCTTTTGAACTGCGTAGAGGGGCCCTGGTAAACACTACAGTCCCTTCAGTCGAAACCTACGGCCTAGACAATAGGTAGACTTTTAAGTTTATGCCCTGAGCCCTGAAAGCCTACCTTCATATTCGTACACCGTATTCCGCGCAGTGACTTGGTCATTTGCTTCCTCAGTCCTTTCGTGCATGCTGACTGTTTAAGTAGCATAGGGTGTACTGAGTCTTTGCGGTGTCTTCTTCGGTCCAGCTTGTCATGTTAATGCATACCCGGACCATGCCGCGCCTGGAGAGTCCGACAGCTAACGCGGAAAGCCGACTCTGGGCCTTAAAACCTTAGTCCTGGTAAGTAAGTAGGCTCACAACAGTAACAAAACAGCAGATGCAACGCTATTGTAACTGTTCAGGGCAAAGTTCAGGGGGGGTGACACATCCAGGCGGGATTCATGCATGCCTGTGCAAAACAGGGTCTGGGAATTTACTCGTACGTTGATCCTCACGCCATGAATTTGCGCAAACCCCATTAATCCCTTTGTGGCCACCATGCCAGGGCCGCCACATCGGCCCTGTGCGCGCTTCTGGCCGCGAGGGTGCAACAGATTCAGTGTTGTTTTTTTTCGGATGGATCCTGAACTCCGCACCCCAAACCTGTTGGTCTTGGGCTTGCAGGGCATCGGATCGACTGTAGGAGGTTGAAGCCGTAGTCTTCAAAGACTGAAAAGGCGTCTCTATGCAGTTAGGATCAATTACTTTGGAGGAGAAGTCGGGCGCGACAGCCCAATCAGAAACCAAAGTTTCTGCAAGCTGGTGGCCTCTGCAGAAGCCTGCTCGTGTTTTGTTGCGCCCTCTTCTTTCAGCAGAGGAGGTTGTGTTCCCAACATCCTAACCATGAGATAATAGCCCTAGACTACACAAACCTTTGAGGGTGCAGTCGTCTTTAGTGAACATGCGATACTGGCGGCAAGCCAAGGGCAACGGTTGAGGATACCGTAGACCCGATCCTTTCCCAAAAAGTCCCCTCGTCCGTCGCAACTGAAGGATCTTCGCATTGGTCTTCGGAGGTGCTAACCTTAAGCTTTACCGAGATCCCTATAAGTATTTCTCAGAACTATCTAGGAATCTAGGGGTCACAGACAGCTTCTGGGGGGTTATGTGAATCCTCCTATCATTGGACCATATTGGACCTGTTCCGATCGCACCATACCAATCTGTAGCTTAACCCCTGCCGGTCGTTACACGTATATTGGTACATCCAACGATGTTGTCATCCCTCAACGGACAGCGTTGCAAAGCCCTGTAAAGTTCTTTCCGTAACCCAACAGAGTCCTTTCAAAGGACCCTACAAACCCCCAAAAGGTGGCAGCTGGACGCGTAGGAAACAAAAATCCCAAGGGAAAGTCGCTCGAGAGCAGAGGCCGAGCCTTTAGCCTACGACTACACCCGCCGGCTCTTAACCTCCGAGGCCCGCGAGGAGAGCTGAGGTTGTTAGGGGGTAAAAAAGGGTGCCTTTTAAGGCCTAGGGTTGCTTTATATTTATACAGGGTGCTGATATCTCCAAAAAAAGGAGTCCGGGGCTCTTCGTGGAGTACTTTGGGGTCCTTTGGGTGTAATGTAGGACTAGGAGAGCGTGCGATGTTTTCTAAAGTCTGGTGTTCGCAAGGGATTTCTTGAATTCTTGCTTGGAATGAACTTCAAGTGATAGTTCTGCATTTACACAGTTGCATAGTGACTGGTCAGATAGGTTTCTGTTGGACTTCAGTGCATTGAGGTTGTGATCTGGCTTGGCTTGAGCCCACTAGTAAAACGGTCGTTGAGGTCGGGACTGAATGAGCTCCTTGTTTTTTTTGCGCGAGTCTTCTGAGCCCTTGCTGGTATGTGAGATCCCATGTGAAGTATCGTGCCAGTATTTGGAGTTCTGGTGGTCTGGAGCATGTGCGATTTCAGCAGGCATCCTACCGACATCAGAGGCTTTACATTACACCTTGTCCCCCTCGGCGACAGGAGTGAGGTGTTCTGTCCACTTAGGCTTGAAGCTCGACATGTAGAGGCAATGGCAATGAGCACGTGGCAGCACCCAAAATCGAAATCCGAAACTCTACTCAAACCGGTCCCAACCGTTGTAGAAATGGCTGGGGGAATCCCTGAGTCGAGGCAGATGCGGTGGCCCAAGAGCTGAACGAAATTGCAGGCACGGTACCCCGATTCCCTTACCCCAAGCCCATATAGGGCTGCCCTACATCGAGTTTAGGGTTCCTAGACTTAGGCTGCGTGCTGAATCGAACTCCGAACCGAAACCCTGAGCCTGGAGCTTCAGCGCGTAGGGAGCCTGGGCATTTCGGCGTGATGTGTTTGGGTCCAGGCGTGTGGATTTCTGTGGTGCTTGTTGAGGTTTCGAGACTTGAAAGGCAGCTACTTTCCCAGGGCTTTCGCACAAGTCACATATATGACATATTGACTTCCTTTCTTTAAAACATATATGCACTGACGCCCCACTATATGGCTTCAGTACAAGCCTGAGTATGTCGCAATCTGTTCCTCCCAGAGTTTCCTTGTATATATATATATATATATATACACACATACATACATACATACCAGTGTGTGTATATATGTATTAGTGCAGCAGACCCAAAATCCCTGATCATGGAGGATCCTAGATAAACCCTTTTTGGGCCCAGTGGAAAACCCCTGTAACGGAACCCTTTGATTACAGGAACCTTACCTAGTCTACCTGGACTGGTCAGGTCAGCAATCGCCGACGAGGCTTCGGTGCAGCGAAGTTCTTGCAGCCCATAAGACGACCCAAGGTTCCCGTTCTTACGGTCCCTGTGAGGAGACGGTTTAGGGTTAGAAGGATCAGGTTCTACAGGCTTTCATGAATACCATTTTGCTGTTGAGGTTCAGGCTTCCTCTTCTTCGGGGTGTTGAGGCCTGAATGATTGTAGGTCTTTGGGAGGTTCGGAGTCGTGCTGCCAGGCTGCAAACCGTACAGCATCCAAACCCTCCTATGTAAAAGCCGAAACGTCCCGAACCGCCAAACCCGGTTCTATCCGGAGAGTTTGGCGATGTTGAAGGCTTGAAAGGCAGGCCGGGAGTCGGTCAGTGCCAGGCCCAAAGTTGTAGTGGCAGGGTCTTCGGCAAGCCCCCCCCCCCCCCGGAACTGATTCTCTGCGGCTTATAAGTCGGATTGCAAGCACGTGGGCCCGCAACCCTTCGCTGCTTGCTATGTTGAAGGTGGCCCCCGGAAGGAGCTGCATTCTGCTCAGTTCGACAGGCGTCCGGGACCTAGCAGGCATGCGGTTTAGGGTCGCAGCTGAAAGGTCGTAGTGTGAGCCTCCATTTAGAAAGTCTAGAGGAATTCGTATCAGGATTTAGAGGTCAATCTTAGAGAAGGGAGGCGCGCCCAGAGTCTCCGAACTTGTCATGTCATTGGCAGGTGCTGCTGCCGGACAACCCCGAACCCTAAATACAACCCCGGCTTGCTACCTCGGCCTAGCACCCTTTCAGTACCCCGGATAGGAACCGTTATAAGAGTTTCCAAGCACCTTATGCAGGAACTCCATGCACCCTAAACCGCTTAAATGTTACTTCGGAGTTACCCTGCAATGCGGGCTTCGTCCCTGCTAGGTAGGAGGGAAAAAGAAACCGCTTAAAAGGACCCTTTACTGCATGGTAAGCCTTAGGCCTTAGACCCGACGTGCCAAGGCGCGACCTCTACCAGCCGGCTTTGGCGAGAAGGGTGCCCTGCGGGGTCTAGGAGTGCAGGGATGTATGTATCGTATATACATATGTATATATATATATATATATATGTATACATTTTTTATTTTTGCATATATTTATACATACATACCTACGCACAAACAAGCATACATACATAGAGACAGAGAGCCCGCACCCCCCGTTCTCATTGAATCAATATTCGGACCTCTACATTAACGTGCTCCTAAGTTCAGGTGCAGTTCCTACTGCAAGCCTCGGCTGATCCCAATGGGATGGTCTTGGGCGAAAGCCGCGTCCTTGCAGTCAGTGTTGGAGAACCAAGACGATCCTTAAGGACGAAAGCTTTCCTAAAGGATTGAAGAATAAAGTGGTTGATAGTATGAGCTTGTTTTATTCACTTTACCTTTAAGGTTCACGTGGTCCATGAGGATTGGGTCTTCCATATATGAGCTTGTGCCGTCGCAATGTTTGTCCGATGTGTCCTAACTGTCGGAAACTTGCAAATCCAAGCTCCCCTCGCCATCCTGAAAGACGTGTCCTTCATCTATACGCCCTTACCGCCCTAAACCCCAGACGAACCCCTAAACTCTTGGTGTTTAAGGGTTTAGGGTTTGAGACTCGTGACAATGACATAAGCAGAAACACACATCCTTTGTCAGATGCCGCTCTCCAGTTCTGCCACCTGCAAAACCCAATGCCCCGGCTGCCCTACAACTCTACCTGGAGGTTCATGGGCAGTTATAACTGGAGTTATATAAGTGCCCTAATATGAGTTGTAACTATTCTTGCCCTACCACTTATAGTTACACGTGAACCTTCAAGTATCTCCAGATAGCATGGCACAGACCACTGCAGTCTACCGCCCACTGTGCTTTTTTACCAAGGCCAAGCTGATTGGGACTGCCCACCGCAGTCGCCCTTGATGCCAGGACCCTAGTGTTTCGTGAGCCAAACTCTAGAAGTCATAAACGTCATATAGTACGGAGCTTTCTGGCCATGTGTGCTGCATGCTCCTCCCTAGGTCCTACGCGTTGACCAACAGTCGTCCTCTGCCATAAAAACTTCCAACTTCACCAGTATTAAATATGGTTACTAGAACAATGAGCCTTAAACGAAGCCCCATAGACTCCGCAGTGAAGCAAGGCTTCCCTATAACCTATAGACTTCACACCGTCAGCCTTCATCGAGAAGATGCATCTTCGATGTGTCCTTTTGAGGCCCAGGTCTTAGTCTCTGGGTCCTGTTCCAAAGTCGCCTCCTTTGGCTGCCTTTGGCTGCCATGTCTTCGTCGACGGGCACGACGCAGCCTTCAGAGCCCCCTCCGCGGCTCAACGAGGAGGCTGACGTCCCGACTTGCCCCGAGGAGTCTGTGAACAGTCTTAATCCTCCTGGCGAGAAGGACGACAGCCTGCACATCGACGCCGCGAAAGAGGAGATGAAGGACAAGATCAATGTCGACCCCCCAGCCTCCAAGTCCGAGCTTCGAGAGTCGGACGTGGAGGTCGAAGCTCCACGCAGGCCTCCGCAGGAGGCTGCATCATCGAGCACCTCATCGTCGACCGAGAGGACGAGGAAGGACCTCGACAAGATCAAGGAGACTCAGCAATCCAAGGCTGAAGACGCAAACACTGCGCACATGGAGCAAAAGTCGGAGTCGTCGGGCCACAGGAGGAAGGACTCAAAGGACGGAGCACGTTCATCGCACGAACCCCCAGCCCCGACATCTCAGACAGAGAGGACACGAGAGGAGGATGAGGAGAACCATCCATGTCCCAGAAACGACCGACTGCCCAGCACTTCCGTCGCTGCTACCCAAACCGAAGCTTAGTTGTAGATTCAGTGTAACCTTTGTTTTTCGGTGGCTATTCCGGTGTGGAGTGTGTGGACCCTACGACATTTCCCTACAGGCTGGACAAGTAACGCCACACCTTAAACCCTCTTAAACCTTAAAAGCGGAACCCTGAACCCAGAAAGCTGACCTTCCGTCGGTTCCTCTAAGAATCTGACCCTACAACCCTCTCCTACACTTTAAATCCTAAATCCTGAACTTCTTCCTTTTTAAACCTCTGGACAAGTAAGGAAGAGGCCATTCCACAGAGCGCGCCGATCCAGGTCGTCATTTCTCCAAGGCCGAAGAGGACCCCTCGCGGCGAGCGCGGCAGGTCCCGTACGCACGAAGCGTGCCCTACAAGGGTGTATATTAGGTTCAGGTACCATAAATGTGTGTATAAAATACACACATGTAAGGGTGTGTGTGTGTGTGTGTACACATACGAGCCCAACGCATAGGTGTATGGGCCCAAGACTGAAGACTTATGGGGTCATAACCTAGTCTAGTCTCGCGTAGGCAATGTTTCTTAAGCACTTATCTCCAATAGCAGCTGCCATTTTGTAGGTTTTAATGCTGGCGGCAGGGCCCTTGCTCTCCGCACCTAGCTATGGTCTGAATTGTAATTCCTTTTTGGGTTGATGTAACAGGATTTTTAGCGGATCTTAAGGCAACCCAATGATTTTTTTCAAGGAGACTATAAGTAAACTAGTTAAGTAAAAAATAAGTAGACAAAATAAATCCTACGCCAGGTCCTCTTCTCTCCGCCAGCCACTCCTCGGTCAAAACCCGCCGCAGACGCGGCGGCAGAGCCGGCAGGCGAGGAAGGCCAAGAAGGAGGCAGATCCGGGAGCTTTGAAAAAATCAGGAGTTTAGGATTTGAGGGTTTAGGGTTTAGGTCCAGGTGGGCATATACAAGTTTGTGCAAAAAGGGTTGAGAATCTTAGGGTTCAGGGCTTCCACCAAGTTATGGACGGGTACACCTGAGTTGATTGAGGGATGCTTAAACTGAGGATCCTGCGTTTTAGCTCTGATGATCGACAAAATTAGGGGTTTATCCTGTACTGCAGGCAACTGTAAGCACACCGAAATCGTAATTATAGTAAGCTTCGTATTCATGAGGCTCCGGCCGTCTGGGACCTACAGATACCTTGTTTGATTGAGGCAGAGATGAAGGCGAAGTACGAGGGCTGCAGCTTCGCCGGAGCTATCAATAGTGCTGGTGTTCGTTGGCTGACGATCTGCGCCGCTATCGTCTTCATGTGGACATTGCTACCCAAGCAACCTGCTTTGCCGCGTGATGGGCCATCCCATTTGCCACATGAAGGGCCATCCGGACTGCCGCCGCATGAACCTTCGCATGAAGCAGACAGGAGTTCGCACAGAGGTGCGGCGCCGCCGCCCTCGAAGTCCGAAGAAAGTGAACTCAAGCTTGCCCAGAAGGAGCTTAAAGATGAACTTACCCAGCTGGCCGATCTGGAGGAGAAAGAGAGGAAGACGGAACGTGTCGAGAACCTGGCACGCTTATCGCAAAAGGTGAGCGAGAATGAAGCCCGATCCCAGAATAACAAGGAACTCCTACGGCAGGCGGCTGTGGATGCCGAGGTCCAGGCTAAATTGGCCATGGAGGAGCTTCAGGAGGACCAAGCCATCAAGCAACTGCAGGCCAAGGTGAAGATGCAAGAGGAGAAGATAGACGATTTAGAAGCGAGCTCAAAGGGAGAGAGCACCGGACAGAAGTCTCCCTGATCGGGCCTCAGAAACCCGCAGTCGTTGGATGGTGCCTCTTTGAATGCCCAGAATATGGGGGCCTTAATAATAATTACCTACACTATTTTGGGGGTTCCTTACGATAACTATAGTATCATGGGCCCCAAAACCCTATTCTAAATATTAAGGCCCCTATAGTAGTGAGGCCAAGACTGCTTCTCTCGTGCTAGCTGCTAGTGTCGACGCTCGTATAGAGTGCCAAAACAGAGTCTTGCGCATGCACAGGCAGGGCTCATCGTGTTGACCTGTGATCATTTTAAGCCCACTGTGATGCTTTCTAACTTTCCGGCTTGCATTCTAAGCTTCAAAGCCTGTATGTTGGACACGAGGTGTTGCGCTATCCATGGCTGGCAGACAGTGGCTCAGTTGCTGCTGCATGCCCAGGCCGTTGCCACGCTTGACATAGAGTGGTCGTCGTCGTCCTTCCCACCCGCACAAGAAGTAGATGTATCAGCAGCAGGGTAGCCACCACTTCAGTGGGAGATGTCGGGCATGTCACCATCTATGCCCATGCACGACAGAACTCCACAAGGGCAAGCACTGAAGATTGAGATATGTTGAGATGCTCGGGATTGTAGGAGCTTTTTCTGGTGACCCTAGTTTATGCTCAATGTCAGTGTCCCCAGCATACCGCAGGAATGTCCGGACAAGCGCAGTACTTCAGTTGCATATCATTCGGATTGACAGTCGGATTGGCCCAGGTTCTGTCGATGTGGTCGTTGAAATATCGCAAGCAGCAGAAGTGGAGTCTCAATCACGAACGCCGGAAACATGTCCTCCCCCCTTTTCCCTCCGCCCTTGCGCTGCAGACATGCGTGTCATTGTTCCGTTTCGGAAAATAACGAACCCTAGCAAGGACCCAAGTAGCAAAATCCTCTCTATGCAGACTAGAAGAGACACAGCCAGAAGTTGAAGCATTTAGGACCCCTGGTATGAGAGTTTCGGGTTTACAGGGTTCTTGTTAAGGAATTTAATTTAAGTTACCATAATTGGGATCTAGTGAATAATAAGGTTTCCGTATTACGGTAACTTAAATTAAGTCCCTTAACAAGAACCCAGTTTACAGGGGATAGGGGATTTCCGATGGGCAGGCAGCGCCATCGCAGGCGGATGTCTCTGGCGGCACGGCGCTGCACTATGCAGCGACTCATGGCGAGGTGGGCTTACCTTGCTTGGGGTTGCTTCGTGAGCTTCGTGCCTCGAAGACTCAGATCAGATTTTCGAACACCGGAAGCCTGTTTTCTCTTTCCAACAAACCCTTAGTTTGTTGAAGCCCAGCAGCATCCCAAGTCAACCTATCGACGCTGGTGTTGGGGCTTCGTGGAGATACTGTTGATGATATAAATCCTGCATTACCTTAAGGACCCTGAACTATGGGAATTATGGTATGTTCCTTATTATGGGTAATGCAGGATTCATATCATCAACCGTATTGGTGTTCAGTTCAGCCTTGAGTTGGAAAAGATACAGGTAATCACGCGAAGCCTGCCGAACGGGCAGATCAAGATTATGGAAGCCTCAATAGGATGTCCTCTATGGCCAAGCCCGAAACCCTACATTACGAGCACCCCAAACCCTGAACCCTAAACATTCGAGAAGTGTACCAAGTTTTTGCAGGCTAGTCCCTGGCTGAGTGTCAAACTTGAACTTGAGCCCTGAAGCCTCGGTTTATAGGACCCCCGGCGCACTGAAAGTTTCGCAGAAGAGCTTGGTCTCAGGGTTGTGGGTCCAGGGTTTTTGGGGTTTAGGGTTTAGGGGTGCTCAGAGCACTACCAGGCGTCCTTGCAAGCAAGCCGCAGCAAAAAGGGTTGCTCAGAGAGACTTCGTTCAGAAAGGGTTGCAGCATGTTGCAGCCTTTCCCAGAACTTCTTTGATCACATGAAGTTCGCGAAGGAAATTCAATCGAAAGGGATGCCAGGAGGGCTTTCGACTTTAAATCCTACTCTGCTCGACCGAAGATGTGACCTTTGTGCTCTCATGACGTAGCATTCAGCCCTCGTCTCCGAACCCAATTCCTAAACTGGGTGTCTTTATTGGCTAATGTTTTTTTGTTTAATCTCCCTTATGTTTTAGATATAGATCCCCATATATTTGAAAATAATTTTGGGACTGTTGAGCCGAAATCAATATCAAGTAAAGTCCCGAAGCCTTCGACACACCCCAAAGCAGATACTCGAAACCTTGCGGTGCGGGCTTCGTCCTTGCTAGGTAGGAGGGAGAAAATACCCGAAACCTCTGGACAAGAGGAGGAGTTGTACAATCTCCTGCTGAAAGCTGCGGCAGATCCGAACCGAAAGGACACCTATGGCCCGGCGCTCTGACCCGGGTTTAAAGCTTGAAAGGGTTTAGGGTTTAGGATCTAAGGTTTGGGGTGTGGAGTCCCAAATGCCTGAATATCTTGAAGTTAATTAGGTGGAGGACTAGGGCGCAGGAAGTAGGTTAGGGTACTCTTATCTGACATGAAAGGAACCCTAAATCGGCCGACTTAGGAATGTAGCCTATAAGCTTTTAAACCCTGAATAGCATAGTGTAAGCGGTGAAAACGACAAAAAGCACCTGAACCTACGTAAACCTACATCCTAACTCTTTCCTTTTCAAGTGTGCGGATAAACCGCTCAGCAACCCGCATTCCTAAAACCTCCTTTCAAGTATAGGGAGGAACGGCTCCGCAACCCCTCGCTTGTCGGTCCGCTGTCTCAGGCAGATGCGCTTGGGAGCTTCTGGAGACGGCAGGTGGGAATAACGGCTTCACTCGTCTGGCTTGTCCGAGTTGCGAGAGCGTAATGACGGCTTCACGGGTTTAGGGTTTGGGAGTTTAGGATTTAAAGGAGTTTAGGATTTAGGAGTTTAAAGGTTCAGGGTTGAGGAGTTTAGGGTTTGCGAGTTTGGTGATTTCGGGTTTACGAGTTTAGCGTTTAGGAGGTTAGGGTTTGGGAGTTTAGGAGTATAGGAGTTCAGGGTTTAGGGGTTGAGGGATTCTCTCAAAGTGATTGTGGTTAAGTGTTCGTCCTGGCAGGGTCGCAGCAGGCCAGTTGCAAAAGCGCTTGTAGGGTTTGGGGAATATAGTCACACATAAACAACTAATCCAAGAAATAGGAACTAGGTAGACCGATCGATCGCTAGATGGACACGCATTCATTTCTGCGTATACTTAAGCTCGTTTTGCACGGACGCACTGCACATGCACACATGCACACGCAGATACATGCATCGGAGGAAGCCTTTGCCGCCCTCACAGGAGGGGTGTTGACAATACGTTTATATATACACATACATATTTCGTAGCGTTTACTGGTGTTCTGCTGTTTTTCCAGGGCTTGCAGGGAGTCTATAGGGTTATTCACGAGGTCTGAAATTCCTAGGGCCTTCTTGGAACGGATTCGCTTTCGTCACTTTTCCTCTTCTGAGCCTGGCGCGTGGAAGTCCCTCAAATTTCAGCTCTTGCCAGGGACTCGGGGATCATCAGATACTATAATATACTGCAATATTGACACGGAAACCCAGTTAGGCAAGAAGCACCGCCCGTATGTGAATGACCTCAAAGCCTGCTCCGAAACCCGCGCAAGATCTTTCAGTTGACCTAGGTTCAGACGGCATCAACCCTTCCGGTTTGAGTTTAGAGTTAACACCTACTAAATGTTAGGTAGTATAGAAGCCTGAATACTTATAGTAATGGTACTCCCTAGAATCCGTTACTATATATGATCTATATCAAAGTTCCGGGACGTTGCTGTGGTGTTTGCCGTCTTGTGAGCCATGGCCGTTGAGGACTTAACCGCAGATTTATGGGCGCACTTGACCGACACTGTCGGACTGGACTTGCAGGTGCATGACATGCTGTCTGAAACGGAGGTTCTTTTTGCGTCTATGCTGGGCCTCATGAAGGAGCAGATGTTATCTTCGTCAGTTTTATGCCCGGTGATGCACCGTTTTCCTGAGCAGCTTTGCGGAAGCTGGTCTGCGACACCGGAAGGCCAGCGAGCAAAGGAATTTTTGGATGCTGGTGGTGATGTTATGAACCTGGACAAGATGTGGCAACTGATGCTATACACCTGGCTTGGCGCTGGAGGTGTCCACGGGCTTCCGTGGAAACACATCTGCACAACACACGGTCTGACACGCTACAACTCAAGCCCAGGGCAAGCCATGGCAGTTGTCAAGTTTGCGATGCAGTATACACAGTCGTGCGGAAATCACGTCTTGAAATTCTTTGGCAGTGACGGTCGCGACAAGGGTTTGAGGTTCAGTCAAGACAAGTTCTTGATGCTCAAGGCATGGCACGCAGCGGTTCCAGCCTTGACCACTGCGTTCAACGTCAGTTCAGCAAACTTCCTGTCATGCATGTGTGACATTGATGGCTGTGGACAACTAGCCGTCAAAGAAGTCTTCAGCTACCTGGGTGTCTCCGGACACCAGCGATTTCGCACGATGGCCTTTGAACACATCCCCTTCGGTCCGGGCGCGAGGAATGGTGCATCCGTGTTCTTTGGATGTAGACGGCAGCTTTTGCAGAAGTCGTCAAGCTCGCAGCCACGCATCCAGGAGTACGTGGCGAAGTGCTTTCCAAATGTTGAGCCTGGAGTTACTGTGGTAGATATAGAGATATTCCTTTGCTACGGTTACACATACTGCAAGATGGTTCAACAGCTGCGGTCAGGCTCAGGGACTTACAAGGTGCCCGCTGGGTGGAGCCCCAAGGACAACCGGGCCATCATTCCACGACTCGATGGTGCCGTCACGGCGCATGAGGTAGTTCCACACAAACATCTGCAGTCACCGTGGCATCTAGCATCCTTCTGGGGCCTGCAGTCCCTTGCCAAGCACTTCAGGCAGCTTTCGACAAAACACGCAAAGAAGCGTCCTGCGAAAGCTCTGACAGAGACCTAGTGACCGAGTGACCCAGTGCTGGCGAGCTTGACGGAGCCAGTGGACCCGGAGTGCCGAAAATTTCAAGCGTCAGTGTGAGAGGCTGCATGCTTGAGGCAGCTTGCATATCGCTATCGTTTCACGTATGCCACTCACGTGTGTCCTCATATGTGGACGGTGTTGTTCCTCAGGCAGGGGGTTGGAAACCTTGTCAGCTATAGTTGCTAGCAATCTACTCTAATCATGTTCTCGGCGTCGGGGCAGGCGTGGCTTTAAACTTCCTCCAGACGCGCCGTCAGCCAGCTCAGCTGCAGGACATCGGTGGGGCGATAGCAGTTAGTAGACCTTGAATTCGGGCGTTTAATGGCTAGCTTTTAGGGTAGGTTATTTCAGTTGGGATGGTAGGGTTGCAGACACGTCTCCATCTCATGATACAGTTTTCGCGCACTCTGATTGTTCATGCAGGCTAGCTTGCAGCACCGCGTGTTACTGTTTTTTCATGAGTGCATGTCTATTTTTGCCTGCTCCCACTCAACCGCAGGTCTCTCTGCCACGTTCAGGATTAAACATTTGGCAACCCCGAACCTTTCATCGCAAATCCCGAAACGTTGCCCGAGCCGCAACGCTCGGATGGACGGGCTAAGCACAGACATGGAAAGAGTTCCATCAGTGCCGATAAGGCAGACAAAGGCAAACACTTGAACCCGACCCGAGGCCCTGCTTACAAAACGTTCTAAAGTTGAAGTACCACACATCTTAGTTGTGTGTCGCTGTTGGCATCTTAGCTATATGTCGTTGTTGGCACGCTTATCTGTGTTATTACTACTAGCTAGGTAGGCACAAGGTTCAAGATTGTCGTTTCGCTGCCGTAATTTTGGAAAGAAACAAGCAACACAACTTCCGGGCGCCCCCCACCCACGCCTGAGGCAATCCCGAAATTACAAGCAACTGTCTTGACGAAGGAAGCTGGCTTGCAGATTGTCAGGCAAGGCTGGTCTTGCACGTGTCACTGCTTGGGCTTTGAAGGATGTGTGCGAAAGTTCAGCACGTGTATTTCACCGTGGATGTCAAGTCATTTGTGTGCCCCGTGAGTTCATTCCGCGAGCCACCGTGCGCGGTCAGACCTATGTTTCGGCCCAGCATTTGGGGTCATGCTGGAATCAGTTTTGGGCTTCAAAGTGCACTCAAATGCTACACCTTGTTGTTTCAGTTTTGTCGCAACAGCCCGTAAGGTTAGACTTTGCCAACGAGGTTTCAGATCCACCTTCTTCACGAGGGCAAGCCCAAGCATCCAACACTACCGACGTAGGCGAGTTCGTAACCCGATCCCCCACGCCGGAGCATGACGAATGCACCTTTGTGTTGCAAAGCCATCAACATCATGAGGATGCGGGTCGACTCCCTGCTACCCGCGAGGACTGTTTGTTTAGGCTTCGGGTTTAAAGGGTTCCTGCCCGGGTGTTATGGGTTTAGGATTAGAAGGATTCCGGTTTGTCCCTTCGCGTTGCGGTTTTGGGAGAAGGCTTAAGTGCAGGCCGCTAGGGTGTGTGTTAGTTTTGCCTTGCATACGCGCCGTAGATGAGTGGGGGGGGCGGGTTTGGGAGTTTGGGATGTGATTCTGTATCCTCGTCTGGAGCTGTGGGGTGCTGACACTAGATTCACTAGATTGTTGGGATTCGCTCGGCATACTCCATTATCGTTGTCTGGTGTGTTTGGGTACATCCGTGGGCACCCATGGATTTCGCGGAAGTGCTTGATGGGTAGACGTCGGGCCAAGTACGTAGGCGTGTGAAAAGAACAAGAGAAAGGGACAAACACCAGCCAGGCTTCGCAATCCTGGACCCCAAACTCTGCGTGAACGAAGAAAAGGCCTTCCCTATAGACCTTTAACATAGGATTCAGGTTGAAGTCTTTATTTGTTTATGTTCGGACATTTTGGTCGGGATTCGTCATCCCCAGCAGCATCCCGAAACAGTGGACGTCGTAAAGAGTGGCCAAACAGCTAGGTGTGGCTTCCGGATAAGGTTCGGGGTGTACTGATGCAATAGGGGTTTGTAGCGATCAGGGATTGGAATGGTGCCTATCATGTATCAGACATCCATCAAAAAATCAATGTCATGAATCTTGTTTCAACGTGTTTTTCTTCGCCCCAATCAGTCGTATCTGTACTCTGCACCTTGTCCTGCCCTGATCTTGAAATGCTTCCGATGCACGTGCCAACATGCCCCAACCGTGCAGGAAAGGTTTGAGGATGCCACGGAGCGCGGTAAGCCCCAAACTACATGCATTCAACCAGCCCTTAACCTTGAATGCTTGAGGCCCTATTCGCGCACCCAAACCTTCGCCGAGAGGTTCGTGAGTGACTTCGTGGCATTGAAGAGACCTGCATCGGTCCCAGTCGCAAGGACCTGTACGGTACGATGGTTGTAATTTGAATGGCAAGACAGGGGGGTGGCAATGTTTTTCGTCTTCGGGTGCTCCGGGAATCGTTCTCGGCATGTAGGGCTTTCCTTTTCCGTTCAGGGGAGGGGAAGCCCGAAACCTGTTGCCCCCAAACCCTGATCCTTCAGGGCACAATGCTGAAACCGTGACCTGTTCGAGTTTCTAGTAGACCCTAAACTGGCATGCGTTTTGTGGGCCTATATGTGCAGGGGCTTGGCAGGACCGGAGGTAGGGTGCAACCATAAATTCCATTCGTAAGAATAAATAGGGCCTAAAACCCAAGAATAGGCATTTCTATTCTAGGCATGATGAGGCAAATGTGACAAACTACATCGAACTTGCCGCTGCATGAGGTGCTCTGAAGACGTTGTGCTGGAAGTAGAGGCACTACATAAAATTTCCAGCCGAGTTCATGCAATCTTGTGGATCGCAACCTTTCCAAGGCCTCCAGATCACGCCAAACCTCAGCCCAAACTACATAGTCTCCGTTGTAGTTCACTTTTTTGGGTTATAGTCATAGGATCCTAAAAGAACAGTAGGTTAAACCCCAGAAACGAACTAAAATGGAGACTCGAGGTAAGATCATGAGCAGTCAGGCAGATTCACGTCATGTCGCCCCCGCAAACATGCACAGCCTCAACGCCAGACCAAGACTCCAAGAGCCCAGACCCCACAGAAATGCCTGTAAGGTTCGGTATCGCCTTATCGTCGTTGTTCATGTTTTGAGATGTACTATAATAACCCCAAACCCGTACCCAAACCCGTATTCAATTTAGTCAAGCTCTTATATTCGGCTTTGGGCATGCAGCTTGCTACGAGTTGTCGCCTTTGCCTCATCAATCTCCGCCCTTCGCTGTGCACGGCGCTGCTGCACCGGATAGTGGTTCGGTCGAGCTGATGTGCCCTGGAAGCTTAGAGACATTGGGGAGGTGGACACAGAGGCGCATGAGGAGCAGACCTAGACCTAAAACGCCCCAAACTCTAAAACTACACTTACAACTTACAATCCTACTGTTTTCCATGAACCTACAGTTGTGCATGGGAGGAGGAAAGGTAACTCAGCAGTGAGTGTGTAGTGACCTAATCTTGAGCATGCAGCTAAATGCACCTGAGTTTCCAAAATCCTTGTAGAGAGTTAGTCTATATGCTTGTTTGTCCCATCTCCCTTCCTTGCCCGAGGTTGCCGGTGCCTGATGTTTGGCTTCTTCCTCTGCCTTGCTGGCAGATGTGCCTTGCCTTAGCAATAAATAGTAGTAGAAACAGTAGTCTCCGCGAGAGAGAGAGAGAGAGAGACAGAGAGAAACAGTAGTCTCTAACCTTCTTGGTCGTCATTGCCAACCTATGGATAGTCAAAGGCTAACCGAGTTCCACTCTAAGAAACTGGACGCCAAGGTGCCATGGCTCAGATGGCCACCACGCTCGACATCGAGGGCTCTGAGCGCAAGATCACCTTGCTGGCTGGGGCGGCACGCGTGTATGAGACTTAGTCCTCCAATACCCAACTTGTACAAGTTGTGGCCTTTTTGGTATCTGAAGTACCCAATATGTTTAAGTGCGAGAGCCTACTGTTGAATATCTTGGTGCTGTCATCTCATATCACCGTATTCTTGAGGAAACGTTGCCACTCTCGCTTGTTTTGGGTTTATTGTTAAAGCCCTGAAAGAACTTCAATCGTTAAACCATAAACCCTGAAAGCCCTTAACCCTGGGTTGCTGGCGAAGTGAGGAGATGGACCGGAGCTCAGAAGCAATGGACCCCGCCTCAGTTGAAGCACCGGTCCGAACGACCATACCGGGTGCTCCCTAGGAATCGGTATGTGCTGTCATTCTAGTTATATAACTAACTGAGTTTGTGGGTTTAGGGCTGACGTGGGATTCACACAAGCCTGTGCGAAAAGGGCTGAGAAGAGTCGAGGACTTTGTGTATATAACACCTCAGCAAACCCAGGTGATTGAGCATACGGTATTTCATTCTGGATCCACGGGGCTCATAGCCTCAGGCTGTACTCTGCAGTAGGATGCAATTTATATATAGGGGTTGAATAATTAGCAAGAGTAGTGTTCGCTGACACTCTAGCCCCAATACATGCGTAGCTCATGATCTAATTACCCACAAAAACCTGTTGCGACCATTCTATGAAAGGTCCAGCCCCTATAGGGGTTCGTGTAATCTCCCGTAGGAGATACAGTAGCGGTTCCCGCAAGGGATACTATAACGGCTCCTATAAGGGTACGCAAACTTTATAAAGGGTTGAGGGTTTCGGGGCCCACTTCTGCAAACTTCGAGCAGCCGACGTTCCCGAATTCCACCGGAAAGTTGAACCTCAAAGCCTGTGAGTTGTAGGCACTGCCTGTATCCCCAAACCCTACGGAATAGTAGGTTATGACCCCTGAATTAGAGGGTAGAACCCTTAAAACGGTAGGTTTTCGGATCCCAAGGTGAGCCTTAAAGCACAGAAGCTCAACCCGAAGACTTGAGTCTTAAGCCTTAGTTTTTGACCGTACATATGAGGATGTCACAACGTTCGTGCCGAATTGCGATTTCTACCAAGATGCTCGGCGATGATTCAGCACGATGCCTGTCTTCCTGTTATATCTATATATATATATATATATATATATATACATATACTGTAGCGTAGGTGCCCGCACTATTCGCAAGTTGTAAGAATGTTCCTTCCTAGGCCGCGAATTAAAACCTGCGATGCACTGGGTCCAAACTCAATTCGAACCATTACGGCCCTTCGTTCTTACAATGCCTGGGCTTTGGAATGTCGGGCTGCGGAATATACCTATAGTCTGCATTGTGGTTCCTGTCTTGGGCTACTTTCTAGGAACAAAAACTCAAAGAACAGCATAGACTTGTGGTTTCTCTTGGTGCCGGCCGCCTTTACACCCCCCCGTGCCTATAGAGTCATACTCGAACATTGACACTCCCCAAGCCCCATTGAAAGTATCAAGGCCCCCTTGTGCTGTAAAACTACGCCTGGTCGGACCTCACTCCGCTGGGTCGGACTTCACTCCGTTGAACCACCGCTTACCCCGTCTCCCCTTCTGCCCAGACAAGACAATCTTAAACCTTTGCACCCTAAGCCCTTAGTTAACCACAGAACCCACAAAGCACAAGAACAAGATCCGTAGGGGTTGGGATCTCGCTTTTGAGGTTTTCAGTCTCGGGTGCTTGAATACTGGAGTATACCCCAAAGCCTAAACCCATAATCCTGTCATATATACCCTGCCACTAAGGATCTCCCTTGCGACTGCGACCACGTACTCCTGAGTCCTTCTGCCGGGGGCCGCTTAGCTGGCTGGAGCTGTTAGGGTTTATTAGCGGCTTTGACATTTAAGGTTGAGCGAGTTTGGGTTTAGGGCTACCATTCTGATTCAGAAAAGGGGCTGAGAGGGTATAGGGCTTGCTTGATGTTCCCAACCTAGCTTTTAAGCTTTTTTGGGGTCTTCTACTGTAGTCCTATACCGAAAGATTGAGCTTTTGATCTTCTAGACATTCGGGAAGTAAGTCATTTAGGGCTCCTGTAAGGTCTCGAATTGAGGGGATGTAGAGTTAGGTTTTAGGATTAGGATATGGAGTCTAAGAGTGCTTTTGCACAGCTTGCTCCTGTAGTTCATTCAACCGTAAATCCTCCGCCCTATAATCTGGCAGAAAACAGTTCGTGAGGAATCCACGAGCTGCCGATGACAGCCTTCCCAGTGGACCCAGAATGACCCAGACAGTCAAGCAATGCAGGAGGTTCAAAATCCCAAAACAGTAATTAAGCCCAGCCCTAAAGTAATAGGAGCTGAAACCCAAAGCCCCTAAACTCCTAAACCCTGCCGTCCTAAACCCATGCCAAGAAGAAAAAAACATGGCTACCCTCCAGCGTCCGAGTTGTCAAATCAAATCTCGCAACAAATAACCCCCCACCACGCAAACACCAATCAACGCATATAACACTTAATGTACGTTCACATACATGCATAAGTCTATACAGACGTGTATAGACGTTTGTATGTGGATGCATGTGGATAAGATTGCCACATGTGTGTATGTATATATATATATAAGCATCTAAAGTACGTTGTTTGTTCAATTACTTCTGGGTTTATACACGCATAGAGACGCATACATCTGCATCGCAAGGTTTCTGGCCCGGTTTCGATCACCTGTGGCACCTGCCCTCGATCCAGAGGCTGCTGACGGTGCAGCGCCTCGGCTTACTATAGGGCCCGAATAGTTGGAATACGGTTCCTCGTATTAAAGGTTCTTTACCGAATTTTCTTGTGAGGATTAGTATTAGGGAATACGGTTCCTTGTAGTCAAGGTTCTTTACCGAATTTTTTTGTGGGGATTAGGGGCTATCCGGAATGTTCTTACCAGAGTTTCCAACCCCTGTATAGCCCAGACTGTTTCTTGGGCTCCTCAGTACAATGCCCTTATACCTTTATTAAGTCGCCTAAAACAAGGCAGCGGCGCTGGCGAGTGAGGGTTCCGGATGGTTCAGGTTTAAGGTGAAGAGTGTTCAGGTCTGGGGTTTGGGGGCGCGTTTGAAGCCTTACCTCAACCCTGAATAACCTACCTTTTCTGGGGCTCCTTATTATGGTTTCCTTATATCAGTCCTAAAAAAGGTAGGTTATTTCGAATTTAGGTACAGCTTAAACAAGTTCCTAGCATGGGCATCATGATGCTCGGCTCGGTTCGGGGCTGCCTTTTCCCGTAACAATTCGCTTAAACTGCGGTACCCCTATAGGGATTACTATAAGGGCTCACTAGAAGGAGCTGGCCTTTTCAGCTTCCCTTCTCCCACAGCATCCCGCAAGCAATCCTTCGTCGCATTCCCAAGTATCATATCGTTTACATCCGAGAGGCCCTAGAGCCAAGAACCGTTTCTGTTTAAGCCCATAGAATGAAGCTACACATAGCTACACCCTCCCTTCATCCCAGACCCC